TTATTGCGGGGGACCCAACTTACCAGGATAGCGTTGTTTTTGGAAATACCATCAAAATACTGTATACTGAAGTGTCCAGACAGTGTGACAAATGAGATACTGTCCAAGCCAAATTTGTAGGACATTTTTTTTCCACAACAGGATGTAATGTTACAGGATAAATGAAAAAGCGGTAATAGCAAATAAATGAATCTGGGCCACACCGGTGTGTAAGTGTAGCTGAAGCAGAAAGCTGCCGTGGACAGCGGCATCAGTCATGTGACCAGATGTAAACGTTATGTCGTTTGGCTCCTGCATGTGCTTCCCTGCTGCCAACGTGACGCATGGCGCAGCCGCACAGACGCAGTGCCAGCTGTAGGACCCGCTGCTACATCGCCACGGTAACGAGGCAAGCCACCGACTGCCCTCGTCCCCGTGCCACGTGTGTCAGGGTGGCAGAGCGGTGACGGATAAGCGGCCGTTAATGGCATCAGGGCACAGAGAGGTGCATTTGGATGGTGGAAATTAATGAGGGGACAGTGCATGCAGTAAGTACAGGGCAGGATAATTATCCTCACCGCAGTCCGGCAATGCCACCTCGCTAATTTTCTGTGTGTGTGCGGGACCTACCTGTGAGTGTGCAGGACCTATCTGTGACAGTGAGGGACCTGTCTCAGTGTGCGGGACATACCTGTGAGTGTGCGGGACCTACCTGTGAGTGTGCGGGACCTACCTGTGAGTGTGCGGGACCTGTCTGAGTGTGCGGGACCTGTCTGAGTGTGCGGGACCTGTCTGAGTGTGCGGGACCTACCTGTGAGTGTGTGGGACCTATCTGTGAGTGTGCGGGACCTGTCTGAGTGTGTGGGACCTGTCTGAGTGTGCGGGACCCACCTGTGAGTGTGTGGGACCTATCTGTGAGTGTGCGGGACCACCAATAACTGCCTCCGCTGGAGACTTCCTGCAAAACTCCCTTAAAGTATACAGATGCAATCAAACAGTGCTGCCATGGAAACAGCGAGAGGATATCCTGGTTCAATATGGGGGCCAGTGTGGAGCAGGGTACTCAGTTGGGCAGTGAGGTTTGTAATCACCTGCGGTGCCTCTGGGGGGGGGTGTGGAGACTGAGATGAGTCCTTCCTGAAGGGGATCAAGGTCTGCAAGTCCCTCTCCTCCAGAAAACCTCCTGAACTGACTGGATAACATTCCCAGCACGCAGGAATACCTGCATCATGCCCAAATTGCCACATTATACAGCTTCATGCATCGGTTCTGGGAAGGAGGGAAGCTGCATTTTCGAGACTGGAACTCCTTCTTCATTCTGCACATTTATAGAGTCGCCCTCCCACATACAAAGCAGGCACATCCTGGTTCTCTCTCACACACACGTAGACACAGCAACTCCCACGCCCCAAGGAGGAAATTCCTTGCTGCTCACACAGAAATGCCCGCCACTGTTGGGGACACAAAGGCACGACTCTGCCCCCGATGGCCCCGGCGTGAGAGCCCTGTCCCGTTGTCCATTGTGTGTACCCAGAGTGAACGGCCGGCACAGTTCAGATGCCCGCTGGCCTCTTCCTCTTCTCCGCTGCAGGACTCAAAGCTCTAAAGCTTCATCCCCACAGAGCCCATTGTTCATTCATGTGTTTCAAAATAGCTCAAAGTCCTCCAACATTTCTAAGCGGACTTCAGAGATAAGGGAGACAGACAGAGAGACAGAAAAGGCACCAGAGAAGATTGCTACAATGGGGAAGGCATCAGGCAGATTGACAGCACGGGGGGCCTCAGAAGCCATGAGGGACGGAGAAAAGAAAGATAATTATCGGACATGCCCCTCGATGGAAGTCCGGCGGTTTTATTATTCTGCTACTGTATGCTGATGCATGTTAGCAGGCTGAGAGGACAGGCAGGCAACACGAGTCAGGCGACTCTTTGCATTCGCAAATCCTCACATTAAACATTTCAGACTAAGATTATGATTATATATCACAATAACAGCCGCATGTCTTAAACTTAAAGAGCATCGATTTAGATTTCACTACTTAGCCGTAGCTCAATTAAGGAAGCTGCGCTCATTAAGCACAAAAAATGAAGAGGCTAAATGTTGTGTGTTTGTGTGTGCAGGGAGTGTCTCGCCTGAGTCAGGAAATGGGCAATCAACAGCGAATGGGCAATCAACAGCGACTGACATGTTTACGGGAGCGAGGATGATGACATATAGTTACTGTGGCAACCTATACAAACAGTCCAGAATGGGGATATTGAGATGCAAAAGACCTACCTCAGCAACAATTACGAATACCTATGTGGGGCATCATCAATGGCAACTACCAAACGTCAGCCACATGCAAGGTCTATATTAGAGCTCTCTGCCAGTGACCGGCTCAGGCTCCTGCAGCTGCCCAGTGAGGGAACCGAACACTTCTGCAGAAACACTGGACCTCTGGAGCCAGCGGCCAGGTCTAGCTGTGGCTGGTGCTTTAATCTGGGAGTGACGCCACCATCAGCACTCAGAGAGCCTCTGGAGCAGGTCACTGCACTGTCACTGCACTGTCACCACACACACGCACCATATTAGTGCAGGCGTACAGTATATACCACAACAGCTCAAGCAGGAGGCTCCGCTCCAGATTCCCTTTGTTCTTATCTCCTTAGGCGAATGCCTCAGAGGTGAATTTTATTCCCAGAATGCCTCGGTCCAGTGCTGAGACACAATGAATCATCCCCTTTGGTGCCAGAGCAGTTCAGCGTCTCTGGGCACCGGAAACAGGGGCCCGTCCCAGCAGCACAGTGATAAAGGCCAGCAGGCTGTACTCTCTGCTCTCGCTGCTGCTCTGCTCTCCAAGACCTCCAAGGTCTGGTTGTAGTCTCCGGATACACTGGGGGGCTCCAGCGGTCACAAGGTCAGGCTGCAGTTTCCTCACACAATCATGGACCCTGAACCCCACCCACCCCCACAAGCAAAGGCTCCACCTTTGCTTATTATCTTTTAGGCTCCATCTTTTCACGCTGATGTTGTGACTAGCACTCATTTGTTTTGGCAGACAGCGGCAGGAGACTCATATCACTGTAGGCTCCTACGAGCTGCAATCATCAAGCTTGCTCTGCGAGGAGGGCCATCTTTTCCCCTCAGCCCATGACTGGTACCAAACCAGAGATGAATCAGAATCTTCCTCCACACAGTCCCCACCCATCTACTACACATGTGACCAGGGATGCCCCAGTTTAATCATGCAGCACAGGCAAGAATAAAGTGCTGTTCACGAAAGCCTGTGGCAATATAGTAGGTAATCCTGTGCAAGGGCATAACTTTGGTTTGAACACTGGGGAGCGTTGAGGTCTCCACCCATTTAGGGGGAGACATGATTATTGGGGGGGGAATTACAACCCCACCCCCATAATTTACGCCCCTGACCCTGTGGCACCATGGGGCCAGTTGGACAGCTGGCTAGCCTGCTCCATACCTGTTGCACTCAGCCAAACATCAGAGGAAGACAGCACCATCCCCGCCCGAACTACCCCATGGTCTAAATGCCATCTAATCGCACAGCATGAAAGTGTCTCCTCAGCATGATTTACGCTTTGTTATCCTGCAATCCGCAGCTCAAATGAAACAACCACGCTAGCAGAGAACCACGCTGGTTTACCGCACATTTCTGCCCAAGAAGCAATTCATGAAGCCTAGTCTGTACAGCGCGATTGGCAGAATTAAAGTTCGGTGATGATACATTCAAGACAGGTCGGATGTTAAATAGACACGACGCTGAATTTACACATACGTACGGATCCCTTATCCCGTCGACATTGACTTAAGTGCAGAAAATCTACGGCGAAAATAATACTAAGAAATACCGCGTAGCCCAGTTCCTTACACAAAACCTCTCGATTGCTATTTGTGTAGCAGCGAGAGCTCCGATGCCCTGAAATCAGACACCCCCTTTTAAACGATCAGTGCTGTAATACCTTACGTGGCCGGACCGGAGCGTCATGTTTCTGTCCCGATTTGCTCGTTAAGCGGCCACGCAACCACTTTCAGCGCCACTACTGAAAATACTGAGTAACACCTCACATCGAAAACGCGGTGCTGTGAGCTCATCCCTCCTGCACACCTGTCCCAGAAACAGAAAGCACACCAAAAACCAGGTACTACGGACTCCGAAGAAGAAGGATAGAAAATACGTTTTTAAGTTCTTAATGTTATTTAAAGATTTTTTTTAATACTAATGAGCTCAGTGTAATTAAAGGGTCTACCGCCCCATCATAATTATCACATTAAGTATTAAGCAATCGTCAGCTATTCATATATTACATAACATTTTAACCCTTGCATAAGCCCCATAATGACTATTTTAAAAGAATTAACTGTTTAGTAAGTTAAGATTGGAATTCGGTCGTAAACTGTGCTGGTGCTCATGTCCTATTAATCAGATCTCTTGGTAAACCTATGGCTCTCCACAAAACGACCACACAACCCTAGATCCGATTTGCGAGGAAGCATTAAGCCACCATGTCGCGCTAGGCAGCCGGAAAGAAATTTCTCACTGAAAAAATAAGGGTCCGGATATTTTGCGTGGACCACGTAGCGTGAAAGGACCGCAGCGTGAATCGCACCTTCTGGAATATAAACATACGTAGTGGCACTCGAGCCTTTCAGTGTGCTGTCTACACCAGTGTGCTGTCTACACCCAGTGTGCTGTCTACACCCAGGGTCTTTTTGACAGCTTGCCAGGTAACATCTGCACGCAGAGTTGTGCCTTGCCCGGACCCAAGGCAGGGTGTTTAAACTGTCTAGGACAAGTCAGAAGCACAGCGGAAAGGACACCAGAGTATCCCCACGGCATGATGGAAGAAGGCGGGCACACACTTTACCGCAACACACTCGGGAGCTTTCAACATGCCAAATCAGTCACCCCAGCGCAGACGCTCGGCTGGACCCCCACATCTGTACGTCCCAACATGCAGTAAGCAATGGCCCTTATTAATAAACGTGCTACAATTAGAAGGTGAATTTATAACCTACTCACCGGGACAGACATCTTGCGCTGTGATTTTTTTCCGCTCTGCGTTATGATTAATGGGAGCAGAAGGCTTCACGTTTTTCGACTGAAAACCGCTATTCTCTTCTCAAGCACGCAGTCCCACTGTATCTGTATCTACTCCATGATTTGAAATCTGTATCCAAACAGAAGAAAAAAAAATCTTTTTCTCGTATAACTATAATGACTTGGAATATTTTTAAAGCACCTTGAATCAGTCTTTAAAATGCAGCCCAGTGAGTCCAGCACATGAAGGTGGCATTTACTGGTACCCCTTACTTCTTCCTTCTTGTAAATGCCACCTTATTCGGCTGTTAAATACTTTTTTTAAATCTCTCCCACGAAACAAAGCGAGCAGAATCCTTTATGCAAACTGCATCCGAAAAACCTTCGCAGACTTGCGGCTGTAAATGTCACGCAGCTGCAGAACTAAGCGGAGGGCTGCGCTCGCGCTGGTATCAGCAAGTTGGCTTTAAAGGGATGGCCAGCCAGAGGGGAGCGCAGGCGCTTGGAAAACACAGCGGAGCCTGGAATTAAAGGGAACGCGCCTTTATGTCGGCGGAGAGCACGCCGACCGGCCGTAATCGGGCCTCCAATCAGAGGGCCCCGAGGCGCTGTTCGGCTACTGTATCAGTTACATTTAATCCTAATAAGCTACACCTAGGTAAGAAACATCAGCTAACAGTTCCCAGCAATCACAGCTGCATTGGGCTGTTACAAAGTCAGGGAATACGAGGAGCAGCTAAAGGAGGAGACCATTACTTCCCCGTATCGGTTACTATGTTAAGTAACGGAGTTAACCGCGGGCTCGGTATTTAAAGGGAAAGGGATTATGCAAGTTGCAGTGAAGCAAGTCGGTGAATTCTTTGGCATGGAAAAGCAGACACAAACTCGGGTGCCAACCACTATTAATTTGACAGCGATACATGTAGCTTCAGGCTAACCTGTGCGCATGAAAGCTTATCAGATGTCATCTTAGCTCAAGTAAATGACTTTCCCACACTTTATATCGCAGTATTTTCCATGTTTAGCTCTTTACTCTGCCACTTACATCCAAAATCCTACAACCTCAAACGTGAATTGCAGTACTTCCTCCTAATTCTTGACACCAAACACTTAAAGAGCACAAAGTGCAATTCATCAATTGCAGTTAAGGGCCTTGCGCAGGGGCCAAACGATGATCCATGTTCTCTGTGGGCCACGGGATTCAAACCCATGACCTTCCAGAAACAGGAACAGACGGCGAACCCACAGAGCTGCACACCCCCCATCATGTGCCCGGGCAGGGGGGTTGAATCATTTGGGTCCAGGCTCACTGCGTGCTGGTACCTGATATAGCCTACAGTTAATGCGTGCTGACACCACACCCTAAAACCCACTGGCAAAGCGGAGAGACCCGTAATCAAGGCACAGACTGCAGCACTCACCTAGCAGAGAACTTAATAAGGACTTGCAGTGTTAACACAAACATGGGGGGGGGGGGGGGGTGCAGACAGTGCTGATGCTCTAAGACTGATGAGCACTTAAGCAGTGTCAGGCAGCCGGGGGAATGTGCACAGCAGAGCACATCACTCTAACAGCGGGAGGTTAAGCAAGTCTGAGACACTTTCAGTTGTCACTTTGGTTCTTATGACTGCGTTGGACAGACTGAAATGAAAGCGTCTGCTCTTCACCCTTCATAAATCAGCCTTGGTCCGGCGGGAGGGTGTGTCGGCTCGGAAACAGCTTCGAGTCTGGAGGTACCGCGTGCGATGGGTTACTCAGTCACTGCTCTCTGCCTTAAGAACTCTGGCCCCCACCAAAGTCACCCCAACCCTTTGGTCTGAGCAGAAGAAGAAAAACATCTCACTGTGCAAACAATAGATTTTGTTTTCCAGCTTCCTTCAAAGGCTGTTTCCGCTCCAGATTGCAGACAAACACACACACATACATACACACACACACACACACACACACACACACACAGTGTGTGACGTTGGACTTCACAGGGTAGCCTGATTTGATCAATGAGAATCGAGTTCCAGCGCTTCCTTTCTTCAAGACTTGCTCTGATTGCTTTTAATCTATTTTTTCCCCCTTTCCAAAAAAAAAAAAACACAGGATACGGTCACTACAGAAACGTTAAAGGGAGCGTTCTCTCTTACTTTCGCTCCTGCGTTTCTCCTTTAATAAAGTAAAGCCGTAAGCCAGTTATTGATTTAACAAACAATGAAGGGGTGCAGACAGCAGCGGAGCAGGCAGGAGAACGAGAGAGTGGGGAGTGAATGGTCTCCTGAAAAACAGAGTGCAGACAACACCGGGGGGGGGGGGGGATCATCGGGGTGACAATATCATCGGAGAGAGGAAACAGGAAAAAACAAAACAGAAGGGAGGAAGCGGAGATCTGCGGCAGCAGGATCCTTTGTGCTAGTATGTGGGTGACAGCAGCTTTCAGAGCTTCAGGCTGCTCGTCCATTAACGCAGAAGAGCCTCAGATAGGCGACAGCAGGTGTTATAGAGGTGGTGGGGCCCAGCCTGGCCGGCACATGGGCATGGGTGGTGTTACAGCCACGCAACTACACCTCACACCTAAAGTAGCAGAGTGTGTAGAGTCACCTACCATCCCAGATTCAGAAGACTGACCCCCCCCCCCAACCACAAAAAAAATGAATTAAAAGGAGCTTCAGTACAATGCAGCACAGTTAAAGCCATGTTCATGCAGATTTATGCTTAATTAATCCTTTGATGTAAAGTCACTTACATTTTACCCCATTTATATAGGATACATTTTGTTTAAGGAATTGAAGTTAAACATGCTGTTCAAGGTAAAACAGGAGTGTCCTCCCCCCCAGGGGATTTAACCTTGCAGTATTCAATTCGGGTTCATGTCCTTGAAAACTGAAACTGGCATAACTGAGGGACACTATTAAGGAAAATGAGGTAAAATGGAGTATTGGGGAGCATAGGCCTGGAATTTTGAATAATATCCAGTCTGATC